AGCTCTGCCCTTGAAATCCTCCAGTCCCACCTCAGCCCCGTGAGGCAGACCCACGTCTACTTCCCAAAGCCGACGGGGACCTTCACCAGGGGGCTGTCTGTGGCCAACATGGCCCAGCTCCCAGGCTGGCTGTGACTCAGGCTCGGGGCACCCCCCTCCCCTGGCAAAAGCAGGGCGGGAGGGAAAGGGATCCTCCACCTGACCTGCAAGAGCAGCTTAATGTTTCCATATAAAGGACATACAGGGCTTAAGGTGCTTCAACTTCGTGTCAAAGTCACTGTCTAATCTGAGGCCAAGAAGCCCCACCCCCAGGCCCCACCCTTACCCACCCAAATAAACACTCTCACTCTTCCAAAACCAGGGGTGTTCCCCGCTGCTCCCCACCTACCAGTGGGGGCTGGATGGCAGGTTGGAAAGCAGAGACTGCAGAAAGACAAGGACATGCAGAGATGGGAAGGAGGAGGGGTGTTGAGAGGGTGCCCCGAGAAAAAGTACAGGGACCAAGCAGGACAGGGACCCAGAAGCAAAGGGACAGAGATCCAGAGGGAAAGGGACAGAGACCTTGAGAAAGGACGGAGACCCAGAGAGAAAGGAACAGAGACGGTGACAGGACAGAGACTCTGAGACAGAGGGGGGCAGAGACCCAGAGAGGGGGGGGACAGAGACCTAGATGGAGGGAGACAGAGGAGACAGAGGTAGACAAGGCAATTGGGAAAATGAAAAAGAGAAATGTTTTAAGAAACGGCGACATGGGGAGATGAAATTGTGAAGACACAGAGAGGCAGAGAGATGGGAGAGACAGAGATGCGGGGGAAAGAGAGAGAGACAGAGAGAGAGAGAGAGGCTTTGTTTGAAAGGATGGAAGCCAGTGAGAAAATGCATAACATGGGGATGGGGTGAGAGGTGGCGGCACTGAACCTGGGGGTAGATTCTCCTGGCGCTGAGCCTGTCGCTGATGGAAAGACAGGACCTCCTTGAGGGGGCCACGCTGAGGACAGGGATGCTGGGGGAGGTGGATGGGGACGATGCAGCAGAGCAGGAGGGGATGGCTCAGCGGGGCCTTGCGTGGAGGCACATACCTGGTGGGGCGGCCCACCCCCATGCCCTCCGCTGGGGGCTCCTTGGTTAGGGCTGAGGGGAAGCCTCTGTGGGTGCCAAGGGGCTGTAGTCTGTCCTTGGTCCCAGGGGCCGTGTGACAGGCACCCGACCTCGGAGTCCACAGACGGATCAGAGGCTGGATGGAGGGGGGCCGGGGGTGGGGCTAGCTGAGAGTCGCAGAGGGGGAGCCAGGGAGGCCGGCCAGGCAGAGCGGCTGGGCCACAGCCCAGGCAGGCTGGACAGGAGACAGCGGCGGAGGAGACAGCAACTGGGGGGGCAGGGAAACTGACAGTGGGGGACACGAGACTCTGAAAGAGGGGGACACAAAGAAACGTGATAAAGGGGAGGACTGAAGGAGAAATGGGCGCTCCTGAGTTCCCTGAGATGAAGCCTTCATCAGCTGGTGGGGGGCAGGGGTAAGGCCCCTGTCACAGCCCAAGTGAGTTCCAGATGAACGGACACTTAGAGAAGGTAGAACGTGGCAGCACCCAGTGGGCGGAGGGAGGGTTGCACTGGACTCCCAGTGGCCTCCCCTAGCCTAGCGGCCTGGGGGCAGCGGGCACCAAATTCCTCCCCACCCCCAAACTCCCCCCAGTTTCCTCACAGGGCTTGGCCAAAGGACCAGAGTCTCACACGCACCTCAGGCCTCTTCCTGGCCCTTTATTGCTGCTCAGGAGCCCTGACCTTCCTCCCGACACAGCACCAGCTTCTAGGTCAGGGAGGAGGGGAGGGGGTCACATGTAGCCCCCACACGGGGAAATCCTGGTCAAACCCAGCTGGCAAGAAGACAAGGGGCAGAAGCAAATTGTGTTGGAAGAACCCACACCTCAAATTTGATGCAGCCATTGTATATCCCCCGAGTTCCCTGCTGGGAACCAGCAGTCAAAACGGGACGCGGTGGCTCACGCCTGTAATCCCAGCACTCTGGGAGGCCGGGGTGGGCAGATCACTTGAGATCAAGAGTTTGAGACCAGCCTGGCCAACATGGTGAAACCCCGTCTCTACTAAAAATAGAAAAATGAACAGGGTGTGGTGGCACATGCCTGTAATCCCAGCTACCCGGGAGACTGAGTCAAGAGAATCACTTGAACCCAGGAGGCGGAGCTTGCAGTGAGCCAAGATCGTGTCACTGCACTCCAGCCTGGGCGACAGCTGACAGGAAGGAATCCATCGACACACAGGCCACACCAGGCCACACAAGTCTCTGGGTGGGAGTGGTCTTACACAGCCCTGGTGAAACCAAGTTCTTTGGTGAGAGGAGTCACTGGATCAGACCCAGGCCTTCTAGAGAACAACACATCAAACAGAATCCATCACGGCAGCCCGGAGACCAGCCAGTCCCAGTCAACAGACCCGAATGAACCCCTTCCGGGGGGCCCAGTTCGACCTCAGTTTCCAAGCAGGAAGCAAAAGCAGGGCCAGTGGGACGCCTCAGACGCTGATAGTGCGGAAGACGGTGAAGCCCGACAGCGCTGTGCTGACCAGGAGCCCCGGGCACTGCGGGTGCCAGTGCAGCTCCTTCAGCTCGGTCTCGCCCTGGTGCACGAACAGCAGCTGCTGCGGGAGGTCGGCCAGTCCGGGATCAGCCTCCACGTCGCCCGCCTCAGGGTCCCGCTCCACTGCCAGGTCCCACTGTGTGATCTGGTGGTCTGCACCCGAGGCTGCAAAGACCCCGCTGTCCTGGGGGTGCCACTCGACGGAGGTCACGGGGGCCACGTGCTGCTTGAAGGTGGCCACTGGGGAGCCAGACTAGAAGGACAGGATGGGAGTGGTGGGCTCTGAATGCCTCAGCCTGACTCCTCGGGGGGACCCAGGCAGAACCCCCAACCCCTCTCGAGCCTCAGGGTTCAGCCAAGGCCCCACCTCTTAAGCCCTCACAAGCCCACAGTCCAGAAAAGGGACACAGGGTAATTCTGGCTGCTAAGAAGGCTGACCAGCCCAGGGGTTGCTGGGAATTGGGACTGACTTGCAAAGAAGCCCCTCCCAGCTCAGGTCACGGCTGCTCTTCCCTCTGCCTGCCTGTTTCCTTCCCTGTAAAAGGACGGCATGGGCCGGGCGCGGTGGTTCACGCCTGTAATCCCAGTACTTTGGGAGGCTGAGGTGGGTGGATCACCTGAGGTCAGGAGTTGGAGACCAGCCTGGCCAACATAGTGAAACCCCGTCTCTACTAAAAATACAAAATTAGCCGGGCGTGATGGTGCACGCCTATAATCCCAGCTACTCGGGAGGCTGAGGCAGGAGAATGGCTTGAACCCAGGAGGGGGAGGTTGTGGTGAGCCAAGATCGCGCCACTGCACTCCAGCCTAGGCAACAAGAGCAAAACTCCGTCTCAAAAAAAAAAAAAAAAAAAACAACAAAAGGAGGGCATGGCTCTCCCAGAGCTCTCCTGGCAGATTCTACAAAGGCCTGAAAGGAGGCAGAAGCACAATCCCCGGAAGCCGACCCAGAGAAAGACTAAGAATGACAGCACTTTCACTACAGCAAAGGCCCCGCTCAACTGGCGTCTCTCTCATTAGGAGAAGCGGCTCTGAAGTTCCAATGGTCAACAAGCTGGGCCCTGTGTGACCTGGTGGGCCTGGGAGGCTGGAATCCATCTCCAGCCTCTTCCCCAGGGCTGATGCTATAGAAACGATCAAACTGGAGGGGAAAAAGGATGACATCATGGCAGCCCAGGAAGGCAGAGCCACACAAAGCTGTGGCTTTGTCCAGAGGGATGCCAGACACTGCAACTCCTCCTGCACAGGGACCCTCCTAGCTCCACAGTGTCAACCCCTAGCTTGGCT